AAAAAAAAAAAAAAAACAATCACTTCTTCCCCTGAAACCATTTTGGAAAACAAGGGATGAAAGCAAGGAGGAAGGCAGAGTTATAATAGTGTTTCTCCAAGTCACCCAGATTGGCTGCTATAGTCCCTCCCTGAGGGACTTTCTATTCCTGAAGGGAATAAACCTTCTACACCTGCCCTAATTTTATTTCTAGCCTTAGTTGTTTGGCCTCCTTACAAGCATGGCACGCAGCAATCTCTTACTTTGTTCCTGCTGGTGCACCAGAAATCCCCCTGTGGCCAGTCCAGGTGGGAACACCAGACACTGCTCCCAGACACCGCTGACGAGAGAGCCTCAGTGCTTTCAAGGCGTCCTGAGCCACTCGGTTGGCTTCTGCCTCCACCAGCACGAAATCTGGGCTGGCTCCATCCATGATGGCATCATGCTTCATGACACTGTGCACGCCAACTAGCAAGAAAGGAAATAGCACAGTGATATTTCACTTTGTACGCAAGAAAGACACTTTTCTCCTCTATATAAGTATAGTGTTGCAATAGACAAAAAACAATAAATACTTCTAGTTGCTATTTACTGAGTGGCTATTATGACTTATGAACCTCACAAATGCCATTTCTATTCACAGTGTCACCACTACCATATGAGGTATTTTCATTGTCTCTGTTTTTATAATAATTGAAGCATAACACTTTAATCACAACTTTAACATTTAATCTCCTTCCTGCTACCTAGAAGGGAAGTGAAAACCTTCCACTAATAAACTTTTCATGAAGGAAAAATATAAATCAGAATTATATAATTTCTAAAAATAAAAATCATGAAAACAATGCATTATCAGAATCATTGGGATATATTTAATGCAGTAACAAGTAGACAATTCATACCCTTGAATACTTAAATCAATAAAATGAAAAAAGATAATAAACAAATACTTGAATTAGTCTCAAGCAAGATGGCCAAATAGGAACAGCTCAGGTCTGCAGCTCCCACTGTGATTAACACAGAAAGAGGGTGATTTCTGCATTTCCAATTGAGGTATCTGGCTCATCTCCTTGGGACTGGTTAGACAGTGGGTGCAGCCCATGGAGGGCGAGCTAAAGCAAGGTGGGGCGTTGCCTCACCCGGGAAGTACAAGGGGTTGGGGAACTCCCTCCCCTAGCCAAGGGAAGCCCTGAGCAACTGTGCCATGAGGAACAGCACATTCCGGCCCAGATACTATGCTTTTCCCATCATCTCCACAACCCGCAGACCAGGAGATTACTTCAGGTGCCTACCCTACCAGGGCCATGGGTTTCAAGCACAAATTTGGCAGCCATTTGGGCAGACACTGAGCTAGCTACAAGAGTTTTTCTTCATATCCCAGTGGCACCTGGAATGCCAGCGAGGCAGAACCATTCACTCCCTTGGAAAGGAGACTGAAGCCAGGGAATCAACTGGTCTTGCTCAGCAGATACCATCCCCATGGAGTCCAGCAAGCTAAGAACCACTGGCTTGAAATTCTCGCTGCCAGCAGAGCAGTCTGAAGTCAACCTGGAATGCTCAAGGTTGGTGGGAGGAGGGGTATCTGCCATGACTGAGGCTTGAGGCTTGAGTAGGCAGTCTTCCCCACACTGTGTCTACAAAGCTGCAGGGAAATTCGAACTGGGTGAAGCCCACCACAGCTCAAGCCACTGTAGCTAGACTGCCTCTCTAGATTCCTCCTCTCTGGGCAGGGAATCTGTGAAAGAAAAGCAGCAGCCCCAGTCAGGGGCTTCTAGATAAAACTGCCATCTCCCTGGGACAGAGCACCTGGGGGAAGGAGTGGCTGTGAGCGCAACTTCAGCAGACATAAATGTTCCTGCCTGCCAGCTCTGAAGAGAGCAGCAGATCTCCCAGCACAGAGCCTGAGTTCTGCTAAGGGAGACTGCCTCCTCAAGTGGGTCCCTGACCCCATGCCTCCTGATGGGGAAACACCTCCCAGCAGAAGTTGACAGACACCTCATACAGGAGAGCTCCAGCTGGCATCTGGCAGGTGCCCCTCTGAGACAAAGCTTCCGGAGGAAGGAACAGGCAGCAATCTTTGCTGTTCTGTAGCCTCCACTGGTGATACCCAGGCAAACAGGGTCTGGAGTGAAACTCCAGCAAACTGCAATAGACCTGCAGCAAAGGGGCCTGACTGTTAGAAGGAAAACTAGCAAACAGAATGTAATAGCGTCAACATCAACAAAAAGGATATCCGCACAGAAACCCCATCTGAAAGTCACCAACATTAAAGATCAAAGGTAGATAAATCCACAAAGATTAGGAAAAAAACAGTGCAAAAAGGCTGAAAATTCCAAAATCCAGAACACCTCTTCTCTTCCAAAGGATTACAACTCATTACCAGCAAGGGAACAAAGCTGGATGGAGAATGAGTTTGATGAATTGACAGAAGTAGGCTTCAGAAGGTGGGTAATAACAAACACCCCTGAGCTAAAGGAACATATTCTAACCCAATGAAGGAAAGCTAAGAATCTTGAAAAAAGGTAGAGGACTTGCTAACTAGAATAACCAGTTTAGCAAATAACATAAATGACCTGATGGAGCTGAAAAACACAGCACGAGAACTTTGTGAAGCATACACAACTATCAATAGCCGAATCGATCAAGCGTAAGAAAGGCTATCAGAGACTGAAGATAAACTTAATGAAATAAAGCATGGAGACAAGATTACAGAAAAAAAGAGTGAAAAGGAATGAACAAAGCCTCCAAGAAATATGGGACTATGTGAAAAGACCAAACCTATTTTTGATTGATGTACCTGAAAGTGACAGGGAGAATGGAGCCAAGTTAGAAAACACCCTTCAGGATATTATCCAGGAGAACTTCCTCAATCTAGCAAGGCAGGTCAACATTCAAATTCAGGAAATACAGAGAACACCACAAAAATACTCCTTGAGAACAGCAAGCCCAAGACATATAATCGCCAGGTTGAAATAAAGTTAAAAATGTTAAGGGCAGCCAGAGAAAAGGTCAGGTTACCCACAAAAGGAAACCCATCAGACTAACAGCAGATCTCTCTGCAGAAACCCTATAAGCCAAAAGAGAGAGGGGGCCAATATTCAAATTCATTCTTAAAGAAAAGAATTTTCAACCCAGAATTTATATCCAGCCAAACTAAGCTTTATAAGTGAAGGAGAAATAAAATCCTTTACAGACAAGCAAATGCTGAGAGATTTTGTCACCACCAGGCCTGTCTTATAAGAGCTCCTGAAGGAAGAACTGAATATGGAATGGAAAAACCAGTACCGGCCACTGCAAAAACATACCAAATTGTAAAGACCATCAACACTATGAAGAAACTTTATATATATGTGTGTGTGTGTGTGTGTGTGTGTGTGTGTGCGCGCACGCGCGCGTGCGTGTGTGCGCGCGCGTGTGTGTGTGTGGACACATCCAATACAGGAGCACCCAGATTCATAGGGCAGAAATATATGTTATTTGAAACCAATGAGAATAAACACACAATGTACCAGAATCTGTGGGACACAGCTAAAGCAATATTTAGAGGGAAATTTATAGCACTAGATTCATGAAGCAAGTTCTTAGAGACTTACAAAGAGACTTAGACTCCCACACAATCATCGTGAGAGACTTTTAACACCCACTATCAATATTAGACAATTCAACAAGACAGAAAATTAACGAGGATATTCAGCACTTGAACTCAGCTCTGGACCAAGCAGACCTAATAGACATCTAAAGAACTCTTCTCCCCAAATCAACAGAATATACATTCTTCTCAGCACCACATCACACTTATTCTAAAATTGAGCACATAATTGGAAGTAAAACATTCCTCAGCAAAGGCAAAAAAACAGAAATCATAACAGTTTCTTGGACCACAGATGCAATCAAATTAGCACTCAGCATTAAGAAACTCACGCAAAACTGCACAACTACATGGAAAATAAATAACCTGCTCCTGAATGACTATTGGGTAAATAATCAAATTAAGGCAGAAATATATAAGTTATTTGAAACCAATGAGAACAAACACACAATGTACCAGAATTTGTGGGACACAGCTAAAGCAGTATTTAGAGGGAAATTTATAGCACTAAATGCCCATAGGAGAAAGTGAAAAAGATCTAAAATCGACACTCTAACATCACAATTAAAAGAACTAGAGAAGCAAGAGCAAATAAATTCAAAAGCTAGCAGAAAACGAGAAATAACTAAGATCAGAGCAGAACTGAAAAAGATAGAGACATGAAAAACTCTTAAAAAAAAAAAAAATCGATGAATCCAGGAGGTGGTTTTTTGAAAAGATTAACAAAATAGATAGACCGCTAGCCAGACTAATAAAGAAAAGAGAGAAGAATCAAATAGACACAATAAAAAAATGATAAAGGGGATATCACCACTGATCCCATAGAAATAGGAACTACCATCAAAGAATACTATAAACACCTCTACGTAAATAAACTAGAAAATCTAGAAGAAATGAATAAATTCCTGGACACATACACCCTCCCAAGACTAAACCAGGAAGAAGTAGAATTCCTGAATAGACCAATTAACAAGTTCTGAAAGTGAGGCAGTAATCAATAGCCTACCAACCAAAAAAAGCCCAGGACCAGATGGATTCACAGCCGAATACTACCAGAGGTACAAAGAGGAGCTGGCACCATTCCTTCTGAAAGTATTCCAAACAATAGAAAAAGAGGGACTCTTCCCTAAATCATTTTATGAGGCCAGCATCATCCTGATACCAAAACCTGGCAGAGACACAACAAAAAACGACAATTTCAGGCCAATATCCCTGAGGAGCATCAATGCGAAAGTCCTCAATAAAATACTGGCAAACCAAATCTAGCAACATATCAAAAAGCTTATCCACCACAATGAAGCTGGCTTCATCCCTGGGATGCAAGACTGGTTCAACATATGCAAATCAATAAACGTAATCCATCACATAAACAGAACCAATGACAAAACCACATGATTATCTCAACAGATGCAGGATAGGCCTTTGATAAAATTCAACACCCCTTCATATTAAAAACTCAACAAACTAGGTGTTGATGGAACATATCTCAAAATAGTAAGAGCTATCTATAACAAACCCACAGCCAGTGTCATATGGAATGGGCAAAGCTAGAAGTATTTCCTTTGAAAACTGGCACAAGACAAGGATGCCCTTTGTCACCACTCCTATTCAACAAAGTATTGGAAGTTTTGGCCAGGGCAATCAGGCAAGAGAAAGAAATAAAGGGTATCCAAATAGGAAAAGAGGAAGTGATTGTGCCCTTATACATTCCCACCAGGTGTCTATGAGAGACCCAACTTCTTCACATACTTACCAACACTTAGTGTGGTCAGTCTTGTCTCATTATCGTTTTAATTAGCATTTCCCTAATAACTAATAATATCAACAAGCTTCATATATTTATTTGCCATCTACATATCTTTCTTGGTGAAGTCTGTTCAAATTATTTGTCCATTTTAAAAACTGGGTTATACATAGTTTTTCTTGAGATGGGGTCTCACTCTCCGCCCAGGCTGGAGTGCAGTGGCATGATCACAGCTCACCACAGCCTCAACCTCCCAGGCTCAAGCAATCCTCCCAACTCAGCCTCCCAAGTAGCTGGGACCACAGGTGTGTGCTACCACATCCAGCTATTTTTTTTTTATTTTTTTGTAGAGATAGGATCTCACCATGTTGCCCAGGCTGATTTCAAACTCCTAGGCTAAAGCAACCCACCTCAACCTCTCAAAGCACTGGGATTACAGGCTGAGCCACCACATCCAGCCAGTAACTTTTGACTGGGTGCCAGACATTGTGAATTTCATCCTGTTGGATGTTGGGTATTTGTATATTCCTATAAACATTCAGGTGGGGCTGAAGCAGTGCTCACTGTAAGGCTGATCATTCCCTGCAACAGAAGCAAGACCTCCTACTCTGTACTATACCCAATGCCCCTGAAATATTTTTCCAGTCTAGCTGGCAGGAACAGGCACAATCCCTGTCCATGGGTGAGCACCAGGCATGTTTCCTCTAATCCAAAAAGTTAGAGAGGAAAGGCCTTTTCACTGACCTTAAGTAGTTTTCTCGCATAGTGTGCTGATCAGCATTCAGCAGTGTGCCAAAGGAGACTCTGCAGACCTGTGGGGTTCTCTCCCTGTGCAGAGCTCTCTCCTCTATCCTCTCTTTCATGTAAACACCAGCCACCCTGGCCTCCCCTGATGCTCAGCTGTGTCTTCTCAACACAGGGTCCACCTGGGGCTCCATCTGGGTTCTCACTCTTTCTGTCACAGCGTGAAAATTCTCTCAAGGTGGTAGCACAGGGCAACTGGAGAGTTCAGTTCATTTGTTTCCCATCTCTCAGAGATCACTGCCCTTTGGTGCCTTGGTGCCTGAAAACCATTGCTTTGTATGTTCTGTCAATGTTTTCATTGTTTCACATGGAAGGGCAAATGTTAATCTCCCTTTGCTGGAAGCCAAACTCATGGTTTTTCTAGACATAGAGACAGATGTATCTGTGCAATTTGTTGTGCATATATATGCATGTATGTATGTGTATATACATGCACACAACCAACACATACACATACATATATCTATTTCCTGACACTACTGGCTGGGAAAGCAGTGACGTACCAGTAGCAATGAACACTCTGAGAATCCAGATCCTAGTTCCTAAATTCCATTCTCCAGGGATTCCTAAAGAAATGGCTGATTCCAGGGCTGGCACAGAATACAAATTGAGCTCGGCATATATTAGTATGCCAAGAAGAAAGGAGGTGCTCAAAGAATAGTGGGGACACAACAGAGGCACAAAGAAGCCAGGTTGAAGGAGCTCCCACCCACGAGGCAAATCTAAGACAATATGAGTATCACAATACTCCTACTAATGGATTACAGTCATGGAAAAAAAGAATCCATTAGTCCATACTCATCTAAAAACAAATTAATAAATAAGTAAGGGAGAAGGAAAACCTTCCTTACAATAGAATGTTAATCACCATTTGGCAACCACTGTAGTAATAACTGACTGAGGAAAGAATCATCAATGGATGTTAAAACTGGTGGATAAAAGTTTGATGAGAAACAGGATATTTACACAGTCTCAAAGTATATTCCTTGAAAGCACAAATTAATTACAAAGTGAAAAATATTAATGTTAGCACTAAGAAACCTGGCAGACTCTACCTTAACCCAGTGATCTTAAAAATTAACCTGTAATAGGTCAAACCAACATGTGTCTTCTGATAGATGCACTGAGTAAGATACAGTATCACCTCTGTGGCATTCCTGCCACAAAAATGTATGCATAGATGTGTGTATGTATGAAAGTAAAGCAAAAGCTGAAAAATGTTCATAACTTGGATAAAGGATATAGGAGAGTTCTTTATATTATTCAAACATATTTAAGTTTGAAATTACTGCAAAATATGAACAACAAAAAAATTAACCATGCTAAATAAAAGCCTTTCTAATATGCTACACATAAACCTGCCTTTTTAAACTGAATGCCATAAACATGCAATCTCTGGTAACTCAAGGCCTTCACATTGTGAACACAGTGACTGCTAAGGGATCACTAAGCAGGGCTATCTATAAGCCATGGTCTTGAGCAATTGTTGAGTCTACATCTCCTAACTTTTCTCCCTTGACATTAGCTATCAGCTTTCATGCTTCTAGAATGCCTGTCACTAGCCACACACTTGTCTCTCTCTCTTATGATGATACTTTAATCTCCTGTGGATGGAAGATGAGATTAACGTAGCACATAGCATGTAAAGAAACTGCCTAATGTTCAGGTAGTACACATCTACTTAAAGAACTGTACACCTCCCATGAGTGGCCGTAAGTACTATTGTTTTCCAAAGTTTAAAATTATTCTAGGTCTTCAAAAAGAGGTGTGAATACAATTTTTAAAATGTCAATATATTTCAAATCTAAATTTTTGAAGAAAAACACCTCTGGCTGAGAGCCCTCTATGTACCATCAGTTAAAGGCTGCTATTTCTAAAAACAGCCTACTCATTTTCTGATCCTAGCATCCCTGTGGCAAATGTATCAAAAGAATTACCTGATTTTTTGAAAAGCTTTTCCAAAACATAATCATCATTGCTCTGTTCCTTGGCCTCACTCTTGTTTTCAGTGTCCTGCTTCTGATACCGCCTTTTCTTCACCAGGTGTGGAATTCGAGTTCCTTCAAACTTGGCATCTCTGCAATGCTTAGAGTTCTTAGACTTTTGCTTTGGTCTCAGATGTTTCTCCAGGGTCTTTTCCTCTGCTGCATTATGATGTTTTGTTTTTGACTTGTGCTTATAAAACTTATTTTCCATTTGTTTATTCTCCCAAAAAGATTCTGTTTGAGCCTGGCTGGGTATTTCTCTTTTATAGGAAACACCCAACTTTTCATTGATACTTTCGTTACCACATAGCTTAGAAGTGTTGCCTGTTCTTGAAGAATTTGAACATTCCCCATTTCCACTAATCACTGATGACTCTTCTGGTCCAGACACTGCATTTGTCTCTTCTCCAAGCCTATCATTGCTAGTTACATTACTACTCGTGTGAGGGTCATCTTTCAAAGGATCACTTTGACTAGAAGTTACTGCATTTACTTCACCTCCTTTAGCCTTAGGTTTCTCTTCAGATGATGTGGCATCATTTACAACTACGTTAGAAGCAGGGAACTTTTTGTGTTTTGGAATATCATGGTCTGCTCCAAAGGCTGGTTGAATCTTTCTTTTTAAACGGCATTTGGGTGTCTGAACATCTGATCCAGTTCCTGTAAAGAGGAAAAACACAGCTAATACTATATTGTATCATCTCATGCAACTGATTACTTTAAATTAAACGACTTTACAAAATACCTGCAAAAATAGCGCTTGTTTCAGTGCTCTGGGACGCATCAGGACTAGTCAGGGTAAACAGCTCATAGAGATCATTGGATTTGAAAAACCGCCTTTGCTTTGGGTCTTTTAGCACTCTATTTGTCAAAAACTGCTTGAAGATTTGTCTAAAAAAATAAAAGGTAAACTGGTATAAAACAATATGTAGCTCTACCTAAAAATTCAAGTTATAAAGCAATATGGGAGAGAGATGGTAATAGTAGCTGCACATATGGCTAAATAATCCCCCAAACTTTCAGCCTTGGAAAATTATAATTCGGGAAACATATAATACATCAGCTAATCTCCCATGTCTTACAGAATTTAAATTAGAAATAATACCTTGTATTTACACTAAATGAGCTTTTTCAACCTCCAAAATCTAACACATTTCAAGAAACACCTTTTCACATGCCATCATGTGTCTCAGCCTCTCTTAGCCTCCATTGACTTGAGTACTGAGGGTCCTGTCCTGCCTAGGACCCTCCTATCATAGGGCTCAACAAACTCTCTCACCCAGGCCTTGCAACGTCTTCACTCTGACATGTCTCTCCCTGCTCCCACCTGCAGGTCCACACTCTGCTGACACCCCACACCACTGCCACTCTGGAACAGGCACCTTCGCCAGCCACACTGTCCCTCCCTGTCATTTATTCTCCTAGCTAAAGTGTGAATCTATAAGAGGAAGCTCTCTTCTTACAGAATCCAACTTGTCACCCACCCTCACACAACAGTCCCTTGAGGAACATGTAATGTTCCAGGAATAGCCCAGCATACAGTGAAGGGCACAGGAGCCAGGCTATGGCTCAAGAATAAAGTCTGTGGTGGGGCAGTGGGAGAAACTGGCAATGTCTGGATTCTACTGTGGAAGTTATCACTGTCTAAAATCCCCTAGTCATTATATAGAAAGACAGAGAATAAACAGGCATCCTGTCAACTTCTCTGTAAGGGGCATCAGAGTCAAAGACCACCAGGACACCCGCACTGATCTCACCTGCATGGTGTGTGTAAATACCAATATGTAGCATTCAATCTTGTCACTTTTTAAACCTTTCTGAAGGCAACACACCATAGTAGGCAGAAATATTTCTCTCAAATAACAATTAATATGAAGTTTACACATAAGTGATTCTTGAAGTAGAATAAGGTAAAAAAATTATCAGGTTCAAAGACATTTTCTGACAACTCACAGTAAGCCATCTAAGCATGTTTTAAAGAAAAAGAAAAAATACAAAACAAAGACCAAAACCTTAAGTTATAGCAACTATTACTCAAAGTGACTTTTAAAAACAACACTTTGGAAAAATTCCCTGCATGCCCAGCTAAGAGCGGCCACTGGGTGCTGACCGGTGGTAGATCTTTTCTTCAATGGTGCCCGCAGTCAGGAGCCTGTACACAGTCACCTGCTTCTTCTGGCCTATTCTCCATGCTCGCTCCCGGGCCTGCAGCAGAGAGAGAGAGAGAGAGAGAGAGAGAAAAGCCAGTGGGTCACTACCTTTCACCCCGAGAGTTAGAATTTTGACTCACAATGTCAAGTGTACCTAAGGTCTGCTCAGGAAGATGAACAGCCAGTTGAAAAGACATCTGTACCTGAAAGAATGTTTGTAACTTTGCCTATGTTCTTTTGACCACAACTCTAGGAATGAATGCTATGGATAAACTGCTGAAGATGGTTCCTGTCCATCTTCAACAGTTTGGCTCTGAAGGGTGCCTTCAGGGTGTGTGACTCTGAAGGGTGTCTTCTTCCGCATCAAATAGGAGACAACAAAAATGTGAACTGTATGCTGAAGCCAACCAGAACATCAAACAACAGTCACAAGCGCTAACCATGAAACTATATTTCTAATAATACATTCTTTTTAAAAAAGAATTTAAAACAAACCTGTGTGTCGGTGCTTGGGTTCCAGTCAGGGTCATAGATGACAACTCTGTTTGCCCCTGTCAGGTTGACGCCTAAGCCTCCCACCCGCGTAGTCAGAAGAAACACAAATATGGACATGTCCTAGAGATAAGACACAAAACACCAAGCAAACACATTTACGACCAGTTGCAGCTTTCAGCCTCTGCCTCCATATTGTACAGGTGGAACTACTGGGCTGTTCTCAATACAAGGAATGGTAATGTCCTAGAGATCTCTGGTGAATCAAAATCTCATTTCACAGCTTTTATTTTTAGTATTTAGTAGAAATACATAAAAATTGGGTTTTTAGGAGGAAAACACATTCTGTGGAAAACACATTCTTTGTTTGAGCACACACATGCCCACCACCCCTCCCCCCGCCGAATATCCAAAAGTGCACAGAGTTAAAAGCAACAAGTCTCCCCTTAGCACCCCCTCCCCAAGCCCAGATGTCAACACTACTTCAGTGGGTAAGGGTGTGGATATGCTTCGTCCTTTCCCTCCAGACACAGCAGCACCATTCAACTTCCCTGTTACGTTCCCATGTTACCTCATTGTATCTTGTAATTAGTGGCTGTCTTGAAGCTATTGTAGTGGTACCATCCATCTTGAGATAGGTATACTTTCGAGCTCTAAGGAATACTTCAAGTATGTCCAGCATCTGTTTGGAGGTGAGGGATAATAGTTTGCAAAGCAAATACACATTCCCAGTGAGTGCTTCTCTGTTTATACAAATAGTCACACCTTCCCCAACAGGCCTAAGTTAAAAGGAGTTTCTTGCTTTAGGACAAATAAACAGAACTGTTAAGAATATTTTTGGTATATCCTTATAGTTAATTCTTACAACTTTTGTAAACAACCAAAACTCAGGCCTAAACACAGTTGCACACCAAAATCACATGGTAGCTTTTTTAAAAAGTCAACTTCTAGACATCAACTCTAGAGAAAGATCTAAACTCCCAAAGAAATCGGCAGACTGCCACCTCAACGTGAGTGGTAGACTTGCTTCAGAGTCTTTACTTTAGATTGAATCCCATTTTGTGAGTTTATGGCTGTCATAAAGAACCAGCCTGTTCCCCGTATGAAGTCTGCGCACTCACCTGCCGTGACTGAGAAAACAGCAATACTCGCTGACCCTGCTTGTGCCATATTTTCAACAAAGATTCAACAACAATCATTTTTCCGGAACGTTTCCAGTACCCAAACTGATCTTCTTCTAGTTCATCATCAGGAAGACCTTTGAGATTCTTGGGACCTCCAGAAAAGAGATCAGGGTGGTTGCAAATTTTTCTTAGGGCTATAAGTCCGGAGAAAATCTGTGGTAAGAAAGAACATATGTGCAATCAATGACCCCATGTAAAATAAGATTCCCTAGGGAAGGAAGCTGTTTAACGTATAACAGACTAAAAACAGTTCTCCACAAGCTTCTTAGTTTCTTCCCTAATCACAGCATTATCAGGAGCTGGGAGAAATTAACTTTCACTCATCTTGTTTCCCTGTTAGAACAAGTTCTCAATAACAAAAAAAATTCTACTGGACTGAACACTTTTACAGGAGTCATATTCAATTGCTAATAATTCATTTTCCCTCACTAGAAAAAAAGTATGCAGTTCACAGCATTATAAACTGAATATAAAAGAGGAACTTGCCTTTTAAATATAGATCAGAAATGTCCTATCAACCTAAATTTGGAGATATCAGTCATATGACTTATCAAATGCATTTAAATATTAAACTCCTAAGTACCTCACTAAAAGTTATGTAGTTTAATATGAGTCAGAAGTTGAGGATCCATTGACCTTTAGATTATTTTTAGATCAGAAAAAAAAATGCATGAAAAAATGCAAATATGCGAAAGATATGAAGTATGGTCCATGCAGCAGAAGGGTATAAAAGACGAGGGGTGAGTGCTCCCAGCCCATCCCCATGAAAGGACATTAACAAAACTCCAATAATGGGGCTCTTCCAGCCTTGAGAGGATGTCTCAAATCAAACTCACTGGTATAAAAGCTTGAACAGCTGGGCACGGTGGCTCAGGCCTGTAATCCTAGCACTCTGGGAGGCCGAGGCGGGTGGATCACGAGGTCAGAAGTTTAAGACCAGCCTGGCCAAGATGGCAAAACCTCATCTCTACTAAAAATATAAAAATCAGTCAGGGGTGGTGATGGGCACCTGTAATTCCAGCTACTCGGGAGACTGAGGCAGGAGAATTGCTTGAACCTGGGAGACAGAGGCTGCAGTGAGCCAAGATCACGCTACTGCACTCCAGCCCAGGCAACAGAGCGAAACTCTGTCTCAAATAAAAGAAAGCTTGAGCAGAAAAAGAGAAAATCACCATTAAGCCAATAATCAAAGGGTATGGTAGCCATCACTAGTAAACAACAGTTAAACAGATTAACAACAATCTCAATAAGTCAGGAACATTGGCAAACCTCCCCAGAGTCATCTGTGACTCATTTTTCTTCCTTTCAATCTGCACTGTCCAATGCAGTAGTCACTAGCCACAAGTGGCTACTGACCACATGAAGGATGGCTAGTCCAAATTGTGATTTCCTGCGTTGCATATGTAAAATACACACCCAATTTCGAAGACAGTACAAAAAAGGAGTAAAATACCTTGTTAATAATTTTTAATTTTTGATTACACATTAAAATATTTTAGATACATTAGGTCAAATAAAATATATAATCAAAATTAATTTCACCTGTTTCTCTTTTTCACTTTTTTAATGTGACTACTAGAAAATTTACAATTCCAAGTCTGGCTTGCATTCTGTCTCCTGAATAGTGTGATCTAGACCCCTTAACTTGGAGAGACCTGAAGGGGAGATTCATGGAGATGAATAGATGTGAATGACTGAAAAATCTCCTGTTGCTACCAATAAGAGATAAAATAAGAAATTGTGAGAGATGATTAAAAGAACTGAAATGACCTAATCACACTCATATATTTATACAATAGAGTCTTTTGGAGAAGACACTAGCTAGGAACTTCTGAATTCTGGACACTAGTAGAAAGAGAGCTTTCTCAGTATTGAAAAAAAGAGAATCACCATAAATACATTACTGTCATACCCTGGGGACAACCAGAATTAGAGCCAGGGACATTTGAACCAGATTTATATCTGGTTCCTAACATTGTAATGGTTCATAAACATTTATTGAGGCATGGGCTCCTTTAGGAAGCTGATGAAAGTTATGAATTCTCATGATCCTCTCCACAAGATATATAATTTTGGTCATAATTTCTGGAAAAACCCAGCTATGCACCTGACACCCACCCACCTACCAGTTAAGACCCTCGGGAGTAACAGAAACTGCACAGCTCGCCGTTGCATTTGTGACTGGGTTCAGATCCACAGTGCACAGCTCTGCAACCTACCACCTTCCACCAGTTATCTAACTCCTTTGCACCTAACAGCTCCAGGCCATAGGCTGACTGCACATCTACCATGCAGGACTGCACGCAAGTGAACTGAGATGACAGTATGTGAAAAGCCTGGCACACTCGAGATCCTAGTTTCCTTTCTTCCCTTGGTCCACAATTCATTTCTCCAGCTTCTATTCTTTAGCTGACCTGCATCTCTCCATTGAGAATCCTGTAAACTTCTTTGGAATCAATGAAATTTTGGTAGACTTTATGCTGCTCATCTGTAAGACGGCAAAATAAGACCTACAGAAGGAAAAACAAGGAAACTATAATTTCAAAAAAAATTAACAGAAATAATTAAAATATCAACAAAACTTACCGATCAAAAGAGCACAATGCATGCAATTTTAATGATATCCCTATGATTAATATTAAAACAACAAAGGGTGATGATACTTCTCACCACACCCTGCTCACCAGCCCCTTCATCTCTGTCGCTCATCTACCTCCAGGTGCCATCCCACAGTCCCCAAAGACTGGCTTCCTGCTCACCAGCAAGTTCAGGGACCAGGTGCACAAACCATCCTCCATGTTAGCCTCCACATGCTCAAACCATCCCACCTCCTGTGACTCATGCCATGCTCTAATCAGCAGAACTGACCAGAGACCACAACCTCACCTGGAGCTCTCCCTTTCCTAGAGCTCTAAGTACAGGTCCATGAGATACCAGGCTCGCCTTGGACAGCAACCTTACCTTCCCAGCCCACTGCACCAACCACTCCATGCCATCACGCTCTGCGGCCTTCCACCTCCCAACCCTCCCTCCTTCGCCAAGTCCATCACCAACAGTTACATTCCCATGGATGCCCATTCAGCCACCCCTCTGCCACCTACCTGGACCCCTTTCAACCCCCTGCATATTCCCTATAAACTTCTAAATGTAGGTCAACTCAACCATCAGCCTTCTATAGGCCTATGGTCAGTGCTGGTGCTGCTAGAGAAAAGCTCCTTCCTGGCAGCATACTGCCACGGCCTGTCCTGCTCCAGGGGGTCCTCCACACATGCCCACCCAGCACCTTCCACAAGCCCAGAGCAGCTGTGCCCGTGCTCCTCACCACCCAGCCACTCACACCTCTGTCTCAACTTTTACTTGTAAACAATCAGACAAATAAAAACAACATGAAAATCAAACCTGGACCTACCAGGATCAGGCACAATTCCCTGGTTTTCACTCCCTAATATGTCTCTACTTCTGCACCCACTTTAGCTCACTGTCCTTTATTCCAAGAAGAAGAGGTTCCTGTACAGGATGGAGGGCAACGCTTCAACCTGTGCACTACATTTGAAGACCCACTCATTCTCCTCAGTATAGTGCCTCACTTGTTAGTCTCCAAGTGGAAGATGGGGGTGTCCCTGAGAAAATACGGCACAAACCCCACCTCCATTTCCTCACCTCCAGTCACTCCTGAAGCCTGCACCCAGAGCAAGCCTCATGGACACCTCTGTTAATGCCACTGAGGCATCACTCATGACTTCCTAGGGGCCAAACACATCGGGTCCTTCCCAGGTCACCCCACTTACCTTCCAAGGCCCAGGCCTTCACTTCTGTTCATGTACCTGTTTGCTCCAGCCTCCCCAGTCTTTCCAGCTAGTTCCTCCTCTTCTACCCTCCTTGTTGCTCCCAGCCCTGACCACACTGGCCTCCCTGCTGTCCATGGATGCCCCAAAGCATGGTCACAGCCCACCATCTAAAATGCTCTGTCTTCAAAACTGATATGACTCACTCCTTCGCCTTCTTTAGGCCTCTGCTCAGATGTCAGTTCATCAGAGGTCTTCTCTAACCATCCCTTATAAATGGCCCACTTCCCCAGCAATCCCAGCTTATCCTTGAACCCTGCTTCATTTGTCTGCACACTTACTGCTGCCACCTGACATCTTCTATACCTTTCTGTGACACTCTCCCTCAAGGATAAATGTGAGTTCCCATGAGAACAAAACTTGCTTTGTTCACTGCTATATCTCAGAGCCCAGGGTCATGACAGGCACATGGTTGGCACCTGATACAATTTGCAGCATGAATGAATTAGGGACTTAAGGAGAATGGAGATGCTTAAAAGAGTAGCTGTAGGAACCCATGTGTCAATAAGGGGAAGGTCAAAGCCTGTGGACTAGAGAAGAATCCACTGAGGGCAGACGCCACAGCAGGCCCAGACTGCCCACAGTTTCAGGACCACACCTCACCAGACTCTCACCCGCAGAGGAGAATCAGAGTGAAGGGACAGGCACACTTATGCTTTAGGAATGCTTTGTTAACTCCTGCATTTACAGACCTGTTCATTTTTATCTGGCAAAGAAAGGCTCATCTTGACATCTGACTTCATTCTCCGCAGTAGGTATGGATTTATGGTATCTCGTAAGACACATGCACACTTGTAAGCAGTTTTGACCTTTAATAAGAGCATAGAGGGAAATATTATTATATATGTTTAAGGAACACATTTGTTCTTACCTCTCAATTGCTTCCATTCCTTAAAAAATAAAAGAATGACCAACAGCTGTACAAAATCAGTGGGAAATGATTGCAAAGTGGTTTGAAAAAGCTAGCATAAGTTCCATATACTCAAGGGTGGTAGCTTTCATAATATTATCAGTTAAAAAAAAAATCTCATTAACCAAAATGTACAACAAAAGAAAAACTGATAATTTTGTGTCTTATTTCTCTTGTTCACTTTGCTTTAATTGTTATTGTACAGTTAAACCCTAAAGTAGAGACTTATTGGGTTCTTGACCACCACCCCCTAGGGGAAAAACTGCTTTTGTACAAATCTCTGTTTATGATCTTGTATTCTCCAAAAGCTACAAAGGAACTCTGCAAGGCTGAAGATCAAAAGCTAACTCTGGGGAAAAGCTGCAGTGATGGAGCAGTCAGCCAATAAGCAGAGATTACTGCCCACTGGAGACTTACAAGAGTAAGTTCAACAAGAGCCCTCTGATCCCAGAAACAAAGGTCACTCTGCCCTAAAATGCAGCATATGGTTCTGTAATGGAGCACCGCCACATGAGATGGGTACTAAATATACGCAGAAAAGCAAATCCCCACAGTCCAGAAAACCACTCCCTCTGCAATTCACTTACAGGCAAAGTATTCAGTAAATTATTGCTACTTCAAAAAAAATCTAAATAGGCTTAACAACTTAGTAAAAACTATTTCATGGAAAAAATTCCAACCAAAGTTTAAATTTAAAAAAGTCAACTGTAAAATAAATGATAATAAAAACCAGCTTGACCACACGTTAAAAAGTATTTTAAAGAATTCTAAGAATACCTCACTCATGCACATATATGTATGTGTACTTGTTGTGTGAATGCATGTGCATAAATATTAAAATAGGCTTGACTTGGAATAATACATACAAAAGAAGTCCAACTAATCAATGACTTTTAGTTATATATAATCCCTTAAATGTATCATTCACTGATAAAAAATCACCTTGAAAATGATAATGAGGTACATATTATGATTTCTGATGCAGAGATGATGGAATTTCAGAATTTAAAAATACAGTCCCACTGAAGAGGCACAAACGTACAGTGTGTGAAGGAAACTGCCCCACATCCTCCCTCTGCCCACACCTCCTCAGACAGAAGAGCGAGCATGCTGGTTGGAGGTGCTTGGTCAACTAAACCAGGGCTAGGCTGGGGAGTGGCCAGGCTGTGGCTCCTGTTCTCTCCTGCATGATACCCTATGGAGATGATCTTCTATCTCATTCCCAACTGGCTCCCAGTCTGCTTCTCTGTTCATAAAAACACAAGGTGGGGATCCAGCTAGATTTTTCTACCAATGCCCACACCCCAGTGCTATGGAAAACGGACACCTTATTGAGCATGCCCACACTCTTTCCCACTTTGACAAGGCAGAACTCTGCCTCTTCCTGAGCACAGTGATCAGGTTAGTCACCAGAATGCTGAGAATCAACAACCTTGCGTGTGAAATGAAGAGGTTCAACGAGACATCCCTGTAGGCTCTTCTCAGTTCTCACATGCTCTGCCCCAGTTGAGCAAACCAACCTCAGCAGCAGTCTGTATTTGGGCTGCTGACATGCTCCCCAACACCTTTCTCACCTTTCAGGCCCCAGCTTAGTCATCCCTTCTCCAGAAAGCCTTTCTGAGCCCCATAAGCTCTGACACTGGGCATCTCCCCTGATCACAGTCCTCATCACCCTCTACTGGAACCAGGTTTTAGTGTCTTTTTCCCCTGTGCCCACCCCTACTGGACTGGAAATATTAGTCATGGGAAGGTTCTGATTTCCAGCCCCTGCCATCATTTTAGCACCAGCATGACAGAATAAATACCAGCACACGAACTATCTTCTTAGAATTCAATAAAACAAAGCAACATGGTCTTAAACAGAAAGCAAATACAACCAATACTCTGCTCCCAAGAATCTTACCTGCTACAAAGGAGAGAAAGATAAGTACATAAATTCCTAAAACAAGCACTTCAAGGGAAAAAAAATAGATCATAATGACATTTGATCATAATGACATTATAGATCATAATCATTTTTCTATAAATGACTTATTAATGCCAAAGGAGAAGTGGTAACATCACAGTTTAGATCTGGTCAATGCCACCTTACTTAAAGTAATCAGAGTTAACATCACCCATAATGGGAAAAACAGACAGCATGCTCCTCCAGATACCATGCACTGAGGAAGACACATCGCTTCTGTGATATTCCTGGCTAAAACATATAACCTGAATCCAATCATGAAGAAAAGTAAGGCAAACCCAAACTGAGGTACATTCTACAAACAGGCCTGTAATCTTTAAAAAATGTCAAGGTAATGAAGGGCAAAAGAAACTGTCCCAGATTAAAGAAGACTAGAGACATGGAAACTATTGGAACAACTGGCAAAATATGAGTGATTATAGAGTAGGTAACAGACTCTTATCAAACTTCCTTCCGATTTTGTTGCTTACACTGGCTATGTAAGAGGCTATCCCTGTTCTTGGAAATACACACTGAAGGATTTGGAGGAAGGGACATCAGATCTGCAACCTGCCTTCAGAGGGTTAGAAAACTAACTTTAGCTGTGAATCTACCTGGAAAGAGGTTGGGGAGAAATGGTAAAGCCAATATGGCAAAATGTTTGCAAAATGCTAACAATCAGTGCATCTGGGTGAAGTGTACTTAAGAGGGTTTTCTTGTTTGTTTTTTTTACAATTCTTGCAACTTTTTGTTAAGTTTGAAATTATTTCAAAACAAATTTTCTTTTTAAAAGAAACAGGAGATTCAGAGAAAGAAGAGTGTCCTTACAAAAGTTAACTGAAAACCATTCAATCTCAAAATGCAAAACATACTAAAATTGTTTTTGACAATCTTTTGATCTTAAAGGTCTAAAATTCTTTTTCTAATTGAATACTCCAAAATACAAGACTTTCTCTTTTGGTGAAAGGCCTCATCCCTGGCTCAGCCATGGCCTGGTAGGCACAGCCCCACCCGTGAAGGGCTGCGCAGAAACCTTACCTCCCACCCAGGCTGGAGCCTGCCCTGCAGGCCACAAAGCGCCCTGCAGCTAACTTCACCTCCTGGCATTCCTGTCTGTGACCACCCATTCCATCAGGCGCCAGGGCCTGAAACTTCAGGAGTCAGTCAGTCAATCACAACAAGCTTAGCCCCTACTCCATCTCCTCGACCCTATCAGCCTCCAAAATGTTTGTTTGTTCTGCCTAAAAATATCACCTGGGTCTCCTGCCTCACCACCTTTCTCAGACCACCACCCAAGATCAGGTCCAGGTCCTCATGGCCCTTACTCCAGTGGTTCCTACAGGTCACTCAATGCCAGCCTCCCTCCTGTGACTACCCTGTAGCCTGAGGAACCCCTGAGAACCAGCATCTTCCAGCATCCTGCTCAGACACCCTCAGTAACCCAGACCTCCCCGAGTGCCACCACTTCCCTTTCAAGGTCCCCCAGTTCTGGCATCCATAGCTTTCTAACTATGCCCCCACAAGCATCTCCAGTCCAGTCAAATGGGTCTCTTCACTGCCCCCAGCCACATACGGTGGCTGCATCCACATGGCTGCCCTAACCTAGAATGCCCTCACTCTCCGTGGCCTACATTCCCAAAATCAGGTTAAGGGACATGTCTCATTAAATCATCCCCGAACAGTCCGATCCTCCTGGTGTCCCCGTTTCTAAGTTTCTCCACTACTTTATAAGATGCACTACCCCAATTTACAGAACTAAATTACATGCTGTCCCAAACTGGTTTGCCCATTTCATAATTTCTAACTGTCCTTCTGCCCACATGTGACATCTTTTTAAAATTTCTTATCTGACCAAAACATCCCAGGAACACAATGCCAAAACTGTTTAATTTCTATTAAGCAAAGAGAAATTTTATTCTAGGGCTTTCCTCTCTGTGAATATTTTTCATGTTTTAAGTGAAAAAATATGATCAAGCAAAAATAATTTTGTGATTTTTTTTTTTTTTTTACCAGATACCAATAAGCTTGGTCATCCTTCTTACATTCTGGGTGACTTGGCTATATACAAAATACAGTATTTAGTAGGAGCATTTTAAATATTAAAATGCCAAAAGTGTTATCTTCCTAATATATTACCTGTACTGGGGAAGCATTTGAATATCCCCCCATGGTGATGGGGATGGAGAACTGCTCCAAAAACACAGGCAACGTGCCTAACTTTCCCGGGAAGATGAAGTCGAAGAGCGACCACAACTCTCGGAGGTTATTTTGCAATGGTGAGCCAGACAAGATGATCCGATGAGGAGTACGAAACTATTTAAGGAAAGGAAACACCTTTTTATTAAGTGTACCCTTGAGCATACAATCACCATTCCTATCCCAAAATGCTCCTCTGCAATATTATTAATACATTTACTCATCATTCTTGCATCATTTTGGTACACTCCAAAACATATACATTTTATGCAATTAGAAATCCTTAATTACATTTAGATGAAAAAATGAGGAATAATTTTTCCTTATTGTTCAAGATGAATACTATAGATTAGAGTTGGGTTTGGTTACATTCTAACAACTGGTCCCTACAAGAGACATTAAATAACATGAACAATCAGCATTAAAAACATGATTAAGGGTAAAAACAGAGTTTTCTGCATTAAGGAAAATGCATATTTTAAATTCCTTGTGCAAAGGCACAAGGAAAGATTCAATAAATGTGTTACTAAAAGCAGAGAGTTTATTCTGAATTAAATATTCTTCTCCACCTGGAAATCTCCCTTGTTATAAGAGGTCATACCTGTTTGCAAGCAAGGGTGACAGCAGCATTTGGATTTCGAATTTTGTGTCCTTCATCCAAGATCACATAGTGCCAGTCATACCTGCTAATGTCATCCTGCATCAGTCGAATGTAGGAGTAAGATGTGATCAAAATTCCATGACAATGAGCAACATCTCGAATTAGTTTCTCCTAAGACCATAATAAAATGGTAAAGTCAGTTTTAAATAAGAAATGACACCCTTTCAATCATGACACAATCTAAAGCACTTTATAAAAATGCACAAATACAAACATAACACTCACAATCAAAGACATTATCAGCATTAGAAGTGTACTTGTTAACCTGGCAAATAGTAAACACTAATACAGCCATTATTGGGGAAAGGAGACTCAAAAAGACGACAAAGTTATAATACATATATATTAAATATATACATATTACATGCTTTTTTCCAAAACAATCCTTTGTGTCCATCCTTGTTAAAACAACAATGTGGATTGAAAATATATTAATTTGTTTTTTCTCGGATCCAAGATGGCCGTTTAGGAACAGCTCAGGATTGCAGCTCCCAGTGAAAGCACAGAGGGTGAGTGGATGCCGCATTTTTATTGCCCACAGACTAGGAAATTCCCAGGCAGAGGAGCTCCAAGGTCGCCAGCACGGCTGTGCCGGCCGGCGCCACTGCTTTGCCCCGCGCGGCTGCTTTGTCGGTGCCCCGGAGCAGCGGTTCTCCGTACAAAATACACCGGTCCGGGTGCCCTTTTGGCTGGCGATTGGAGCCACAGGAAGTCGCCCATTCGTCTGTTTAAAAAGGGGACTGAGCAGAGAACCAGGACAGTAGATTCCAGGGCAAAAAAAAAAAAAAGGGCCGCAAACCTCAGTGCTGCTGTTTAAGCCAGCGCAGTGAGTGGCCGCAGGGGAAAACAAACAGACCCCGGCGCCTCTTCAACAGGCGACTGGAACACCAACTTAAAAAACGCTCTGAGGCAGGGAGCCAGGCGATCAGGCTCGGCTGGCCCCACCCCCACAAAAGAACAGCAACCAGAAACTCTGGATTGAGACTTTCACAGCAAGCGCAGCTGAACCCGGGACGGTCCAGCTCTGTGAGGGAGGGGCGTCCGCCATTACCGAGGCAGCCCACCAGGACCAAGGTAGTCGGCCAATGCTGAGGCAGCCCGCCATTGCCAAGGCAACCCGCCACAGCAGAGAGACTCCGCCTCAACAGAGGCAGGACACCACCGCCAAAGCAGTTCTAACTACACCCATATAAACAGGACTGCAGGGAAGTTCACTCGTCAGCGGGGCGGAGCCCACAGCAGCTCAGCAAAGCCTCTATAGGCTGACAGTGACTAGGCTGCCTCCTTGCTTGGCAGGGCAGTTCTGAAAGAAAAAAAAAAAAAAAGAAGGCAGCAGCATAACAGAAACTCATAAATAAAGCCCTAAATCCCTGGGACAGAGCACCTGGGAACAAAAAGCAGTTTATGAGTTCTGCTGCAGCAGACCTAAACGTACCTGCCCAGCAGCTCTGAATGAACAACAACAGAGCTCACAGCTCACCGTTTGAGCTCCTATAAAGAACGAGACCGTCTTCTCAAGCAGCTCCCTGACCCCTATATATCCAAAGAGACATCTCATAAAAGAGAGATCAGATTGACACTAGGCAGGTATCCTTCTGGGTCAAAGATAGCAAAAGAAGAAAACTGGTAACAACCCTTACTGTTCAGCAGCTGCTGCAGGTGAACCCCAGGCAAGCAGGGCCTGGAGTGAACCTCAGCAGACCTACAGCAGAGGGGCCAGACTGTCAGAAGGAAAACCAAGAAACAGAAATAACCTCATCATCAACAAACAGAATGTCAATCTGAAAGATTTGAGACCCAATCTGAAAGCCAGCAACTACAAAGTCGACAGGTGGATAAATCCTTAAAGATGGGAAGAAACCAGCGCAAAAAGGATGAAAACACCTGAAACCAGAACACCTCTCCTCCTACAAGGGATCACAACTCCTCACCAGCAAGGGAACAAGGTTGGAGGGAGAATGAGTGTGATGAAATGACAGAATCAGACTTCAGAAGGTGGGTAGTAAGAAACCTCTGTGAACTTAAAGAACATGTTCTAACCAAATGCAAAGAAACTAAGAACCTTGAAAAAAGATTTGACGAAATGCTAACGAGAATGGACAAAATAGAAAGGAATATAAGTGAATTGATGGAGCTGAAAAACACAACGTGAGAACTTCGTGAAGCATGCACAAGTATCAACAGCCGAACTGACCAAGCAGAAGAAAGGATATCAGAGGTCGAAGATCAACTCAATGAAATAAAACGGGAAGGCAAGAATGGAGAAAAAGGGGTAAAAAGGAATGAACAAAGTCTCCAAGAAATGTGGGACTATGTGAAAAGACCTAATCTACGTTTGATAGGAGTACCTGAATGCAACGAAGAGAATGAATCCAAGCTGGAAAATACTCTTCAGGATATTATCCAGGAAAACTTCCCCAACCTAGCAAGGCAGGCAAACATTCAAGTCCAGGAAATACAGAGAACGCCACAAAGATATTCATCAAGAAGAGCAACCCCAAGGCACATAATCGTCAGATTCACCAGGGTTGAAATGAAGGAGAAAATACTAAGGGCAGCCAGAGAGAAAGGTCGGGTTACCCATAAAGGGAAGCCCATCAGACTCACAGCAGATCTCTCAGCAGAAACCCTACAAGCCAGAAGAGAGTGGGGGTGAATATTCAACATCCTTAAAGAAAAGAACTTTCAACCCAGAATCTCCTATCCAGCCAAACTAAGCTTCATAAGTGAAGGAAAAATAAAATCCTTTGGGAACATGCAAGTACTGAGAGATTTCGTCACCACCAGGCCAGCTCTACAAGAGCTCCTGAAAGAGGCTCTACACATATAAAGGAACAACAAGTACCAGCTCAACTAAAGGACAAAACACCTAGCTACCACCAAAATGGCAGTATCAAATTCACACATAACAATATTAACCCTAAATGTAAATGGACTAAATGCCCCAATCAAAAGACACAGACTGGCAAATTGGATAAAAAGACAAAACCCATCGGTGTGCTGTATCCAGGAAACCCATCTCACATGCAAGGGTACACAAAGGCTCAAAATAAAGGGATGGACGAAGATTTACCAAGCAAATGGAGAGCAAAAAAAAGGAGGAGTTGCAATTCTCATCTCTGATAAATTAGACTTAAAAGCAACAAAGATCATAAGAGACAAAGAGGGACATTACATAATAGTAAAAGGATCAATGCAAAAAGAAGAGCTAACGATCCTAAATATATACGCACCCAATACAGGAGCACCCAGATACATAAGGCAAGTTCTTAATGACTTACAAAGAGACTTACCCTCCCACACAATAATAGTGGGAGACTTTAACACCCCATTGTCAACATTAGACAGATCAACCAGACAGAAAATTCACAAGGATATCCAAGACTTGAACTCAGACCTGGACCAAGCAAACCTAATAGACATTTACAGAACTCTCCACCCCAAATCCACAGAATATACATTCTTCTCAGCACCACATCACACCTACTCTAAAATTGACCACATAATTGGTAGTAAATCACTCCTCAGCAAATGCAAAAGAACGGAAATCATAACAAACAGTCTCTCAGACCACAGTGCAATCAAGTTAGAACTCAGAATTCAAAAACTAACCCAGAACCGCACAGCTTCATGGAAACTGAACAACTTGCTCTTGAATGTTGACTGGATAAACAATGAAATGAAGACAGAAATAAAGACGTTCTTCGAAACCAACGAGAATGAAGACACAACATGCCAGAATCTCTGGGACACATTTAAAGCAGTCTCTAGAGAAAAATATATAGCAATAAGTGCCCACATGAGAAACAAGGAGAGATCAAAAATTGACACCCTATTGTCAAAACTGAAAGAGCTAGAGGAGCAAGATCAAAAAAACTCAATGTCTAGCAGAAGACAAGAAATAGCTAAGATCAGAGCAGAACTGAAGGAGATAGAGACACAAAAAACCCTTCAAGAAATCAATAAATACAGGAGCTGGTTTTTTGAAAAGATCAACAAAATAGACAGAACACTAGCCAGATTAATAAAAAAGAAAAGAAAGAGAATAACCAAATTGACGCAATAAAAAACGATAAAGGGGATATCACCACAGATTCCACAGAAATTCAAACCATCATCAGAGATTATTACAAACAACTCTATGCACACAAACTAATAAACCTGGAAGAAATGGATAAATTCCTGGACACTTGCCTCCTGCCAAGCCTAAACCAGGAAGAAGCCGAAACCCTGAACAGACCCATAACAAGGTCTGAAGTTGAGGCAGCAATTAAGAGCTTACTACCCAAAAAAAGTCCAGGTCCAGATGGGTTCACAGCTGAATTCTACCAGACATACAAAGAGGAGCTGGTACCATTCCTTCTGAAACTATTCCAAATAATACAAAAAGAGGGAATTCTTCCCAAATCATTTTATGAGACCAACATCATCCTGATACCAAAACCCAGCAGAGACTCAACAAGAAAAGAAAACTTCAGGCCAATATCCATGATGAACATAGATGCAAAAATCTTCAATAAAATACTGACAAGCCAACTGCAACAGCACATCAAAAAGCTTATCCACCATGATCAAGTAGGCTTCAACCCGGGGATGCAAGGCTGGTTCAACATACGCAAGTCTATAAACATAATTCACCACATAAACAGAATCAAAGACAAAAACCACATGATTATCTCAATTGATGCAGAGAAGGCCTTTGACAAAATTCAACAGCCCTTTATGCTAAAAACCCTCAATAAGCTAGGTATCGATGGAACATATCTCAAAATAATAAAAGCTATTTATGACAAACCAACAGCCAATATCATACTGAATGGGCAAAAACTGGAAGCATTCCCCTTGAAATGTGGCACCAGACAAGGATGCCCTCTCTCACCACTGCTATTCAATATAGTATTAGAAGTTCTCGCCAGAGCAATCAGGCAAGAAAAAGAAATAAAGGGCATTCAAATAGGAAAGGAGGAAGTCAAACTGTCTCTATTTGCAGACGACATGACTGTATATCTAGAAGACCCCATCGTCTCAGCCCCAAACCTCCTGAAACTGATAAGCAACTTCAGCAAAGTCTCAGGATACAAAATCAATGTGCAAAAATCACATGCATTCCT